TCACGACACCTCGCCCCCCCCCAAAAAAAGCCCACCGATGCTTGTGCAAGCGGCATCAAGCCGCAACGAGATGACTTGCAGCTTGCGGCCCTTGACCGCCTTCCAGCATTAGCTGCTTTATCCAGGGCTCTGTCACAAGCGGTCCGGTCCTACTGTCAATTTGTCTTTGATTGATTTGGAAATGATTGCTTCCTTGTCAGTTTGTAAATTAATATTGATAGGAAAAAATAAAAAATAATATTGCCCTTATAGGGAAAGATATTTATTTATTATTTTATTCTTCACTTTTAAAATTATTACTTACATAATCACTACCTCAGTTAACGTTTAATTTCATTTTTATTTGTCTCTGTATTGAAAGCCTTATTCGAATTCTCTAACGTACTTCTAAACTTAACCTACAGAAAGCAAAAAAATATAAAACTTAATTAGTAGCAATTTATACATACTATCCAAGTGTTCATGATTTTAAAAATATGTTCAATCAAAAATAAAATTATAGCTATAAAAAAATCTAAACATCGATTAGTTTTGAGTTCATTACACTCCAAGTTCCTAAAAATTAATATTTTTTTGCTTCTTTTTGCAGGAAGTTTTTTTTTTTAATTTATTTATTTAGACATATAACAATCTGTCCCGTGAAAAATAATTATAGTGATATATGAATACATTCACACCAAATATGTACATAATATAAAATTAACAAAAGTAAAATATTAACTAAATAATAATCAAAAAACTATGTACAATAAAAAATAAAACAACCTATAGATAAGTAAATTAAAAACATAAAAACACAGTCATACTTATATACAATATATACAATCAGGCAAGGAACCTCAAACCAGGTTTCTCCCTCCAACTATAGAAGGAAAAACAGGACTTCAAGAGATCCCTGCGCTACTCTCTCAACCGCGTCATTGGTACTAAAAGCAGTGGAATTTGAGCGAAAGCGCTTTAGCCACATTCACTCCTGTCTTGAGTGGAGAATCTGGCCATTGCCAGAACTCCATCCTATATCCTACAAAAGATCTCTGGGCCACTGCCGCTTCAACCTTCGAGGAGGGTTGTAGGGATGAGTGGAACTAGATAGGGATTGTGCTAGGGGATTTGGATGATTTATAAGGTTCTAATGGAATTTGGAAAATCTTTCAGGGATAAGGTCAAGGACAATTGGGATATTAAAGTCATGATGTAGCTCTTTGTTGGTTACATAGATCGGAGCATCGACTATTGTTTGGAGGATTTTGGATTGAAAGGATTGGATGTTCCTTAATGGAAAAGTTTGCTGTCCTCCAAAGTTCAAGTCCGTTGCAGGAAGTAAGAAAGAAACTTGATCTTTAGAATCAAATATTTTCTGCTTGTGTTTTACGCTATAGACATCAAAGAACTAATTATATATAAATATCACATCTTTCTCTTTTATTATTAATATATTGTTTGTTCACTGATTAATTCACTTGAATATTAATTCTATATTTTCGTGATATCTTTTTTCTTTTCTTTTTTAATTCATCGCTTTATTCCTACCTGCCGTATATTATAGTAACAACAAATTTGGTGATATTAAGATTATAACGAAATGTTGCACATGGTGAAAGACAGTATAAGTAGTACATCCTTTTGGTCTTGATTTAGTTACTGAATTAAGGAAAGGTGATCTCTCATCCATTCTTTTTGTGTGCCATGAGAGCTTCTTTTTTCGATATGGGTATAGTCATTTCGTTTATCAACCTGTTGTTTCTATGAATTTTTGTTATGAAAAAGGCCAGAATGCATATGTAGCTGTGTATTGTTAGAGAGTTTCAGTTATTCTTAATGATAATTAACTCTGGGTTGAAAATATTGTAATTATTAAGAGCTTGTTTTTGGGCTAACCGTAAGTATAGGAATCTAATATTTCATGATTTCTCTAATTTTCAGGATTTGAAAAAAAGTACTATAATTTTTTATCGTTTTATTTTAACATTTGTCGTAATAATCTATAGTGACAATGGTCATAACAGGTTGGCTATTAGCGAAGCTTGACTTTCATTATTCGAGGTTGTTAACTTCTTGCTTTCCAAAGAATATAAATAACAAAGTCATATTTGCATTGATTACGTTTTAAATAAATTCGCAATCATATTCCGAAATCATATTGTTATTTACATAATCATAATTTACTACATAAATTTAGGTAATCTCATTAGCATATACATAACTGTCCTAGAGTAATGGCTCAAGATATGTATAATATGTCCTATCCAGAAGCTCCTAATAAGGTCGAGATGTTCTCCAATTAGGTAATGCGGAGGGTAGATGAAGCGATACAATTCATTGCAGCTCCTGCATATTTATGAAGGAATTTCTGAAAGGTGAGTTCCTTAGGAAGCCACTTCGAGGAAGTGTTTTTTAGTCCAGCACCACATAACATCCGAAGATAGCCCTGTGATGTTTGATGCTGCTATTATCATTGATAAATGGTGTTCATCTGTAACGTCTAAGGAAAGACGAAGTAGAACACATGGTTTCTAAATTGATCTGTACCTTATTATGCGACTACGTTGTTGCTTCAAGAAAGTGTATTTGAGTTCACCGGTCGCAGGTATGTAACTATTTTTGGAGTGAAAGGCTCAACCGATTTTCAAGTTTGATGTCTCAAATTATTATTTATTATTAGATAAGTGTTTTGGTACGATTCGAGCTCAAAACGCAGCAAACTCGTATTAAATGTTTTTCCTGTTTTCTTTTGAAGGTATATGTACGAATTTTTGAGAGAACAGCTCTACCGATTTTTGAGTTTGATAGGTCAAATTATTCAGAGATATCCCGATTATTTATTATAATTTAAATATTTCTATATCGTGAGTATGTTCATGATTAGGTGAATAAAAATAGACTTGAAAAACTAAAAATATAAAAGTTATTAATTTAAATAAAAATCTCGACTACGGCATTGTATATCCACTTGCATACTCATTAGAACATGCTAGATAGTAAATTGCAAGGATATTAAATCATTGTCTAGTATGCTGGTGTCTTCCATTCACTCTTTGCAGGTAAATTCTGTATGGCATGCAGCTACAAAGTATATTAATTAATTTTCTGAGAATTAATAACAATAATGTGGCTGAGTGAGAGGCGCTGGGATCATCTAGAGTTCTGTCTTTCCTTATACGAATGGGGGGGGGAGAGGAAGGCTTGGATCGGAGTTCTCCTGAGTTAATAAATTCTGCAAATATACAAGTATTTTAAAAGCATTTAAGTTATTATTATTATTATTTTTCTGTATTATTTATTTTTGTATATTGTTAATAGAATGCGAATGTGCTATCTGAACACTGTTATAAATGCCCTTAATTGCGACAGATTGTAATATTTATCAATAAATAAGTTGAACATTTTTCAGAAGTCTTTAGGTTCATTTGAGGGTGAAAGGCATCCACTACTATACGAAGTTACTAACAATCATACAATTGTTTTAGTAGCTGTTATGTGCTATTACATTCCGTCGCTTAAGATGGGAATATTTAATTGTATAAATTTTTAAATAATTTAATTATATTTTTACAAAATTTTAAATGAATGTTTTGGAAGAAGAAGTGACCAATAGCATACAGAAATTATTTTCAATACTCTTCAGAAGTCTTGTGTATCGTTCGTGAGTGAAAGACATCTTGGCATATATAAGCTTTCGATTCCTTCAAATCTAATACTTATAGGTCTAGAATAGGGACCGTAGCTCTAATTTAAGGAGAAGTTGATCGAGGGTGCGGTCAATAGACACATAATATATTTTGCCGTAGGATTTATTGAATTTGCCTAGGATTTATCTATGCTCTAGATATATCTTCAGGGTATTTCAACCAACATCGACAGACCAATGACTATATAACAATTCTGTCGGTTTGGTTTCTTAATGCTAGATTAAATGTCCCGAAGAAGAGAAATAGCTTAGGTCGAAACGTAGGAAAATGTAATAAACGCTACTTCAATATATAATATGTATATGACCGGACACTCTACCACATTACAATTGATTTTTTACAACTTACATATTGATTTTTTATTTCTTACCTTTCTTTCATTTTTCTGAATCAGGTCTACAAGTTTTTTAATTAATATTTACTTTTTGAATTTGTTTTATAATGTATAGTTTTGTCAAAAGTAAAAATGAATTTTATTATATCTGTTGTTTGATATTTTGAATGGAATATAACTATTATTAATTTTTTCATTGCATTGATAGATATGCTATTTGGTAATGTTTGACCTCATCGAAATCACCTACACAGAACCTTTCAGTTGACAGAATGACTAACTCCAATTTCAACATTTTGAGTAATGTCATTTCTGTGATATTTATAGTTGCAAAATTCATATTATCATCACAGATCACTGTATGTACAAACACTATAAATTTACCCACTGTTAAGTTGATTCCAGAGTAGATGATTGCTGTGTTCAAATGTATAACTGTGAATAAAAGGATTAATTTTCCCACTAAAATTATTAATAAATAAACGTTGAAATTGGAGTTAGTCATTCTGTCATCTGAAAGGCTCATATATGTCGATATTGCTAATTTATAACACAGACCTATTATCTCATTACGGACTCGTTACACCATCCGATGATGAACTGATTGAGGGTGTACAGACTTTCTCCAAAAGCTTTAGAGGCAGTGATAGTGAGAGTGAAGGTATCGTCTCTCATATTTAATGGAGCTATTCAATGACATTTACATACAACGATTTTAAGAATATCGAACGTTGCATCGAAGAGATATCATCGAAAAGACATTTCACGGCATGAATCGATGCTAATGAAAAAAACAAAGAACGTCCTCATAATCTGATGGAATGTAGTTGGGAGAGAATATGGTTTCGACAATTTTTAGTATGCCCTCGTATCTTAGCCTGCATCTTCATGAAGTTGCATTCCATGAGCTCATCATGAATAATGTTGCGATTTTTTCCTCATATTGCGAGACAATGTTTCGAATACGTTGCTTCATGATGGAGAGCATGTGGCAATGGTCTGGGTAATGGGTGAATTATGTATCTTTGGTCATAACCGAATTCACGTCGTCATATCATAATTCACCTGATTATGATCAGATTTCAGAATCTGTCAGATCGGATTTTGAATTGTATTTTTTTATTTTGGTTGTACTTTACGTTTTCCACTTCAAATTCACTAAATTTAGATAGTATGTATAATTTTTTAAAAGGAATGGATTCCTTGATTGTTTGCGGGCTATATATCGAATATAATTATACTAAAATAAATTAATACTGTCTATCAGTAAAGAAAAGTCAAAATAACCATGAATCACTTTTTTTTCTTCTGTTGGAGATTTTTTCCCGCCATGACAAGCGGGAACTATTACAATGTAAGAAAGTAATAGTTAACAACATTCTTAACCTCTGTGCCTTCATATCATATTGATATTGATTGACTGTGAATCACTATGATGATTACATTATTAAACGCCCTCTACATATCTAGTCTATATTTTTTTAACCATATAATTATTATGTAATATATTTAAATCTGTAGGATCCTCAGTTTCTTGTAATACAAAACCTTGACGACCATTTACAATAGTTTTTCCTGTTCCAATCTACTTTCGATAATTTGCCTAACTTTTTTATTACGCAATAAGTGATTATTCATGTTGGATGCTATTATAATTAATAGTAAGAAGCATACATTCAAAGGATTACAATCATCACTCTAGAAATGCATTGGTAAACATGACGTGTAAAACTTACGCCTGTTATAGTATTCTTAGTATGTTGAAGAAAACAGATTTTACAAAAATGTACTATTTCTTCATCTTGCAATACGGTTATCTGTTTGGAAGAAGTCTATTTCAATTGTTATTTTGTCAATATGAAAAACTTGGAACATTTAAGTAAAATATAATTTATAGTGTTATTTTCTCAATATGGGTTCCAAGATCTTTAATTTTAACAAACGAATATTCCTGAATTCATAATATCCATTTTCTTGATTGTATGTTGCTGTTAGCCCACTTAGTGCCACAAAATTTTACTTGAACAAGTTTAGGTTATACGTGTCTTTAACTATCTTCCTATTCCTATTCCAATATTTATATTGGTATACTTTGTTTAAATATTATTAACGTATCTGTTTTATATAATAATAATATTACATACTAATTGTATAAACATGCCTTAACAACATTTCCATGTGTTTCAGCTCCTGGAAAACGACATTGACCCGGTTGAACACCCGATGTCAGGATTCGAACCACGGCTATACAAAAGAGAAGCGGTCGCATACGATCGCCCTGTGCAATACCTTCATTAACGGACTCCACTTCTCAACTAAGGACAACTTCACCACCATGTACATATCTGGACACCCGCACCACATCTCAGCATGGATATGTCTTTTAAACATCGAATATTTCAACTTTTCTTGTCTGTAATTCAGAAAATGAGACCGCAAAAACATCCGTTCAGATCCATTAACGAAACAGTGCGTGTTACATGAACAATTGATCACAAAATTTTTAATTGTATAATTCCTTGCTATTTTTAGAAAACCATGTTAGTGTGATATCTGCTGTAAAATAATAACCCATAGCCCGGATAGGTTTAATTTTAAGTTGCCTATTCCTAAACCCTTTTAGAATAGTCACTTTTGTTAAGTTTTTCATGTATATTTAATGTCTTGTCAATTGAAATCAAATGATAGCAATAAAAAGTTGTTTTGCTTGGATGTACTCTCTTATTCTCCTTTAGTAATAAAATGAAAATATGAAACTCATAACATTTAATGCTTAAACATTAATATTATTAATTGATAATTATTTATATTAAATTAGTCATAAAGAGTAGTAAAGAGTCTTATGAAACTTTGCTCTGACTTGTGTTGTCCAAAATCGCAAGTCCAAGGCCGCTTAACTGTTGCAAGACCAAGACCAGGTCTGATAAAAAAAAAATCAATTTTTTTAATAAGAATTAATTTAAAAAAGTTACTAATACTTGACAATCTTAGTTACTGTATGTTAATAATTGATATAACTAATATACTTTTGCATTCAACTCTTCTAATTTTTCATTCGGGCTTAGTTAGGTTTCTCCTATAAAAAAAAAAAATAAAGTAATATCTCTATAGTGATAAGCTAATAAGTAACTGCAAGACTGTTGCGAGGGTCTTGCGCAAGACTAAGACCATGACCAAGACTAAATTCGCAAGACCAAGACTCGCTCTCGCAGTTGGGCAACACTAGCTCTGACTGACCGTCATTTGTATCGTACTCTAAAAATGATGCAATAGGTTTATGATTGCTAAAATATCTGATGACTACTATTGATTGAAATTTATTTGCTAAATACCAAACAAAAACTCCGTCATTATTTTAATATAACTTCTGTAACGGCACAGGCGGATATACAGGGGGTACTTTCAGGCTGAAGCCCCCTCTCCCCCCAAAATGGTTAAATATAACCATGTTTTATAGAAAACAATATTAAACACTATCTCTTAAAATATTATTGTTCGTTTAATTACATTTAATAGAACTCCAAGAATCACTTAAACACTATTTCATATGGGTAGTTAATTTCCTTTCTTTTTAAAAACAAAATACCTATCGTTATGTATACGAAAAAAAAAAAAAATTTGGACTAAAGCCCACCCCCACAAAATTTATTCCTGGATCCGCTAGTGTTTAACGTAATATGTGAAAACTCTTTTGAATTCACAGAAAATTGAATAGAAACACATAATGTCTTATTTTTATGGCTAATTATAAAAAATATCTATATTTACTTCCACAAAACAGTTTCTGAATTTTGCATTGTATTTAAATTATGAGATATTTCAGTCCAAATGTTCAAAACAGTCGTTATCATTTGATTTTTTGGTGCTATCGTTTTCGACTCTCTAACTCTTTTTAATTTATTACGCTTTACGAAGAAGATGAAATGATGAACATCTTCCGTGCTTACAGTATGCAGGTCCGATTTTCAGTTTCTGAGATATTTTCATCCCGATGCAAAAAAACTTCAATTAGTCGACTCGAGCCCACTTTACCTGAATTAGCGTTACATATCAGAGCCTGACGGGTCAATCTCATTCATTCAGCCACAAAAAAGGCGCATGACGTGCCTAAAGAAATTTTCAATTAAAAAATATGCCGAAGCATAAAAAAAAAATCTAAATATCCATTTTCTATATTTCCACTGAATTATGAAAGAGTTAAATTTTCGAACATTACTTTCTAGAACTACGCCTTATGTTGAACTATGACTAATTTAAAAGCGTCAGTGACCTCTGTATTCCAGAACAACCATACATGACTTTTCTTTTATTAATAGATTCTTGTAACCAAGAGAGGATACAGGAGATTGGAACTATTAGGTATCCCATACATTTGGCCCCTTTGAAACAATAAAGACTAAACTACTGAGAGAAACCGGGGAGACTCTACATCATCACGGAGGACGATTTCCCTCAGCTAGTAAGTAAGCATAACTACCCGTACTACGAAGCATTCGTTTACGGGTGGAAGGAAGCAGTCGAGGACGATCACTACAACCTCCACTAACGAAGACCGAAGATCCAGAAGAAAAGTATCAACTACTTCTATAAAAAATCTGTGTTGCCCAGAGGCAAGGGCCAAGGCAAAGGAAGAAGAGGGGAAGGCAAGGGAAGAAGAAAATAAAATAAAAAGGTAGGCCATACTACTTGAGAGAAATATTATCTTATCTATATATATATGTTTCACCGTCGTTATTTTTTGAAAGAATAATTGCTATGAAGTCAATATATGAATATTTTTACCATACTGCTTCATTAAATTTTTAGTACATATTCATTTTTAGTATATATTATTTTTTGAAATTTTGGTTTACATAAAAAGCTATTTCACACTGTTCCCATCTTCTCGCTTTGAATGCATTGAGATATACATATGAGATGAAAATAAAATTCACATAAGAGCATAATAAAAAAAGCTGATGTTGGTTTGTTGGTGGATTATAAAAAAAATATAAATTATAAAAAATATATCTACGGCGCTCGGTATAACGAAATGGTCGCCGTTAGTCACGATATTAGCATACTTTAAATCGCATTTAGAAAGTAAAGAAATTGAAATTTCTACTACTCCATTTAATGGTAACGGAACCTGTGGAACTAAAGGAGGAGGCGAGATATGTTTCGGTTCGCTGTAATTTCATTAACCCCAGTGAAAGCAATCTTCCAAAAATCGCATTCCAAAAGCTGCAGGCTCTCTCCGGTTACTACCGTCGCTACATCAGCCCTCGCTTAGACAAAGAGGCTAGGGAAGAGCCACTCTCACTCGCTACTCATGTATACATCGCCCGCCATCTCCCATCATCGCTCCTTAGCTCTGTTCCGATGCGCGCTTACAATGGATCTTCAATGGGGCTTAATGGCTCTTCCGTCGAGTCCGGTCCCAAAGAGATATGAAAGCCTACCGAGCTCTTTGGCGAGCGGTGTAAGGGCAGGTGTTAATGATCTTATTCTGTGAAACTATACACCAGGCAGCATAATACACATCCGACATAAGTAATATGGTATAAATTAATGTTGAATACGGATACGTTGTTTTTTTCATCCCTCTCATGATTATATCATACGTTTATGAAGCCAACATTTGCTGAAGTTTTATTAATATTTAATTTAATTTATTATCATGTCGGAGGAATAGGTTACAATGGTCATTTATGATAGACCTCCTCATACCAGACTGAAACGGCAAGAAACCGCTCGACGTTTCCGATTACTTCTGCACTTACTAGACAAACGCTCAAAACTTCCAATTAATTACAAAAGACTCATATACATGACTAAAATAAGCCCTATTTGGAGTTACGGAGTTGAGCTATGGGGCTCCACTAAACCATCGAATTCCTCTCGGGTCCAATCCTCACAATCCATATCCTTCGTAAAATCCTCAATGCTCCCTACTTTGTAACAAATAAAACCATCCATAATGACCTTAATGTTTCTTACGTTTCAGATCTGGCCCAATCCGGATACCTATCCTTTCATAATAAACTTCAGGATCATCCCAACCCTCTCGTTTCTAACCTTGTTTCCTCTTCAATTCATGATAACCCCCCAAGGCGTCTGAAAAGAAGATGGTTCCGTGATCTCCCAATGTAGACATATTATTAGAGTGCAACCATTAGGTAGTTTCTAAACCCATATCACCATATCACGTCATTGTATCCACATGTTTAAATTTATTTAAAAAAATTTATTGAGAGATATTACAATCTGTCACAACGAAGGACATTTATAATAGTGTTTAAAGAGCACATTCACACTCCATTCACAATAAATAAAAATAAATAATACAGAAAAATAATAATACTAAAAGTAAATGTATATAATATATATTATATAAATGTATATGTATATAATATTTAAATGCATATAATATAAACTAGACTAAACAAAAGGAACAAAGCTAATGAAAGTAACAACTCAAATACATACATACAATTCTATGATAGAGTTGTAAATATTATTATGAATGATGGTTGACTATAGTGAATAATTGAAGAGAATAATGGTTGGGCTGATCAGTAAAAAAAAAATAGTAAACATAAATAATTACATTTATTTTTATTTTTTCTAACGTTTCGGTCCAAAGTTCAGGCCTTCATCAGGGCTGGCTAAACCCATATCACCATATCACGTCATTGTATCCACATGTTTAAATTTATTTTAAAAAATTTATTGAGAGATATTACAATCTGTCACAATGAAGGACATTTATAATAGTGTTTAAAAAGCACATTCACACTCCATTCACAATAAATAAAAATAAATAATACAGAAAAATAATAATACTAAAAGTAAATGTATATAATACATACATTTACAAATCTTTTACAAATCATTTACAAATCCAAATACATACATACAATTCTTTGATAGAGTTGTAAATATTATTATGAATGATGGTTGACTATAGTGAATAATTGAAGAGAATAATGGTTGGGCTGATCAGTAAAAAAAAAATAGTAAACATAAATAATTACATTTCTTTTTATTTTTTCTAACGTTTCGGTCCAAAGTTCAGGCCTTCATCAGGGCTGGCCAGATGAAAAGCTGACACAAAACCAATATATATATAATTGGTAATTGGACTGTCGTGGATAATGAAGAGAAGAATAGTTGGGGTGGTCAGTCAAAAAGGAAGGCAAAAAATAAATGATAATATTTATTTTTTAAATATGGCGACGTTTCGACCTGAAGTTCAGGCCTTCATCAGGGCTAAGAAAGTAACCAGATAACAAGGTATGAGAAACATAAGTAGTGATGGTAAAAAAAAAAAATAATAAAAAATAAAATAAAAAAATATTGAAAAAATAAAATAAATAAATAAATATAAAGTAAAATGAAATTGTTAGAATAATGACTAAGAACTAAGAGATAAATAATAATAACCGTTACAGAGTGTGAAATGATGAAGTAGGCATAATCAAAAAGGGTGACATAAGTGTTACAATGGGAATCTTAGAATAAAATGTAAAACATAAAAAAGAACTTATGTTTCTCATACCTTGTTATCTGGTTATTTTCTTAGCCCTGATGAAGGCCTGAACTTCAGGTCGAAACGTCGGCATATGTAAAAAATAAATATTATCATTTATTTTTTGCCTTCCTTTTTGACTAAACACCCCAACTATTCTTCTCTTCATTATATATATATATATATATATATATATATATATATATATATATATATATATAGGATTAAATACATACATATATATAGTGGGTATGTATGTATTTAAGCATTCAAGTAAACATTTGTGTTTTATAACTCGTTACATAATGCTTCAAGCTCTAAAATTAGAACGAAGCAGTATGCTGAATGATGGATTACTATATTTTACAGCGAACGGATCCTTTCCAAACCTATCGGGATTTTGAATCTTGGCATTTGAACAGTAATAAATGAATTTCTGAGACTGATCCATTATTGCTGATGCAATCTCTTACAATCACATGCTCCGTTAGGTGATTTATTATTTCCCATTACAGGTTGCAGATCTGTTGCTTGATCCCTAACCAAACAGGCGCAGAAATGACATGGGTTGTGGTGACAGATTATCAGGAATCTGCTTACTGACATTGACAAAAGTCTTTTATGTTGATAAAAAAGTGTTTTTGTACAAAGTCAAATACAGCGAAACGACTAATAAAGTGTCACTTCGTTGATACGTTTTGCAAATCAAATTTAATAAATACGTAAAAAAAATAAAATTCGTTGGTACGCAAGAAAATAAAATTTAGACAAAAGGAAGAAAAAAAAAAAAATATATATATATATACTATAACACAAAAATATCTGTCTCATCATAATAAAAAAGTAATGTTGAACTGATACTATGTAATTTAATTTAATTTTAATTTTTAAATATTTACCAAGTAACGTTTTTATCTTACCTCCATTCATAAATCAAGATCAAAAACGATCCATTTGAATGTTTAGATTTTTTTTTTTTAATTCAGCAAATTTAGTGTTCATTATAAATTTAAGCCACTTGTTGAGATAATTACATCCAGTATGATACCTATCTATATTTCACCATATCAACTCTTATCTTGAAAATAGTATCACCACATTAATGTAACAATATTTAAACACTTAAATTAAAGTGGAGAAGCTCAGTGGTAGCGCGCCGAGCTTCCAATGCTCAAGGTTCCAGGTTCGAATCCCGATTTATTTCAGATAAATGATTTATTCTGTTTCATGAGCGGTGGATCGATCCTGGGGCCGGAGACCCCCGTGGGTCACAACCAGCTTCTATAACGTGCGTACCCTTAATTAAATAATTGATTAAGATTTGTAATACTCATCTTGAAAGTTTTATCACCTCATTAACGTTGCAATATTTATTCACTTAATTAATATACTATTTCAGATTCTATTGTTTTCGATAACTTATTGAAAGATTATTCAGTATGTGGGGTGGTGTATTCCAAATATCACAAAAGCTTGATTCCAAACCCTATCAAAGGCTTGAATGATATTTAGAAATTAACTATATCAATGATTACAATATAAATTGAAGAAAACAAATATTTTAAATCATCACTGATAAGTATCATCAAATGGGTACCCTTATCATCAAGTATAAGTACCCTATTTATACTATAAAGATTTTTATACATGTTTTATGTATTTTAGCAAGGAGTGGGGTAGCTCATTGGTAGGGCGAATGACCTGAAATATTATATAATTTAAGTGAATAAATATTGCAACGTTAATGAGGTGATACAATCTTCAAGATAACAAACCTTTATGAAATATTTAATAAAGGATACCCACTTATACTTATCATGATTAGTATCATTAAGTAAGTATAAGTATTACGCTGGCGATTAAGCGTGATCTCGGTCAAATCACCTCCTTGCACAACCATTGACCAAGAATCAGTACCTTCTCTACTTAGTACTGAACCCATGTATTTTAGCAAAGACTTTTTAATTTTATTTTTCTGCAAATAATCAATTTTCCACTCTTTTCTTACAACAATAGAACGTCAATAAAAATGTCGATTAGTTATCCATTGAGTGTGAACGGACAAGAATACGCCGTATATTGTGTTGAAACTAACAATTTAGAAATACATTATTAGTTGTTACGAATCAGTAATAATGATAGAAAGCTATACATCACTTTTGAAAGTCTGGTGCGAAGTAAAGAAAGGTTCTCACGCGGCGGTACCGTCCTCTTCTACATTAGACGTGAATAGCGAGTAGTGTACAAAACATAAATATGACGCTAACATATAGGACTTGTTCTTGTATTGAAGGCGGGAGACATACATCATCATGCTTACGATAGGTCTGCCGCCTAGCTCCTGACTCATGCTTTGTCTGCATCTGAAGTTGAGAGGTTCTTTTCAGATTTCTCCAAGTCTACCGTCTTCTTCTTGCGAAAGAGCTAAACTAATGTTATAGACAATAATCACTTACTTAAATTTTAAAAGAATATTTTGCTTTATCAGTTATCATTAGACATAATTTTAAAATTTTAAGTGCTCTAGGACTTCATTTAAAAAGTTTGAATTTTTTCAGTATCAAATACAACTGCACATACCCACAAAGTAGAAATTAATTAATTAATTAAGAAATATTCACACATAAAATAATAAACAAAAACGACAAAGACATTTCCGATCTCTCGTCCTATCGACCGATACGTCTCCTGCCAATATGTTCTAAAGTTTTCGAAAATTTGATTTACAAAAGATTAGTTGACATACTGACAGACTAAAAAAATATTTCTGATCATCAATTCGGTTTTCGCACATTACATTCAACAACAAATCAGTTACACAGAGCAAAAACAATAAGCAACCGGCGTGTTTCTGGATGTCGCCCAGGCATTTGATAAAGTTTGGCACCAAGAAATTCTCTTTAAACTCAAAAATGTATTACCT